CAGGATCGACCACACTAAATCCTAGGACATAGCTAATCTGAGTTTAAAATCAAATGAAATCTAAAACAGAAGGATAGATACTTCGACAGTATTGAAAACAATAAAAAAAAAGGTTTTGGAAATAAAGCAAGTAGAAAATAAAAGCAGTTTGGGGCGAAGAAGATAACAATTTAAAGCAAAGGGTAAAGACCAGAAAATATAACTCGCATAAAAGCAGCAAAATAAAGGAAGATTCTTATAAAAGAAAAGAAAAACTTTAATGCATTAAAATAAAAGATGGTGTTTCGACACGTACATTCTCAGTTATAACTCTTTTCTCTCTTTGACTTGTACAAAATGAACACACACACAAAATCCTAAATTGAGCCACTATTTATAACTAGTCAAAATAACCCGCTCCTAATGACTCAATGAACTAGATTAAAGCAAATGTCACTATGCATACTTTGATTACTTAAAATAGTGCCACGTGCCTCCTTCTAATGGCAGAAAATAATTGCATTTCCCTCCATATTTCAAATTCAAACTTCAAAGGTTCTTGTCTGTCGAGTCGTCCGTTTTCTGGTCGAAATCCTCGCAGTATAACCATAGTCGAAAACGCTGCCTTAACTAAAAAACCTAATATTTTCACCTGGGTGTCGAAATTTAAGGCTAACAGTAATCAACCCCCTTAACGCTGTCTCTGTTTTTATTCGTTTTTGTTTTAAAAAATCTTTAGGTTCACTTTTTTCTCTTTCCTTTGGAAAAATAAAAGTGCGGCGGCGACTCTTATTTTGCGATTTAAGTTAATCAATATCTTAATCTCAAATTTTCTTGCTACATTAAAATTTTGAATAATCAACTTTACATTGTGATTCCGAAAAGGACAAGACCCACCACCCTTTCAGTTGGCTTCTTAAGAAGAGTCTGCCTTATCTTCAATGTTGTGTGTGATGTTTTCTTCAATTCTTTCTCTTTTGTTTTTATGCACTATAATTGACTGATGTCCTCCTTAGCCAATAATTAGGCTTTTTTGGTTTATTGCACAGTCTGTATGATCATCCTCAAAATCTTTGATTAAAAAGTTACAAATTCATTTTAACAAGACTTTTGGTACTAGGTCGAATTCACCATAGTTGGGTGAATTCATAAGGTTACTGCTATATTTTTTTCAGATTGGTCCATAACATTTTGCACGTATTTTGTAGATTGTAGCCATAGGCCAAAGGGTTTTTTGTTGTAGGATTTGAATTTTTTTTTGCACTCTTTCAAATAATACTCCTCGTTATGCCCATAATTCCACAGTTATAGCAAAAAATCAAGAAGTTTCTCATATCGAAAATCGATCCAGATTGTATCGTCTTTTACAGTGCCAATGTGCACGCCTAATTTTAAAGGTTTCATAACATCTAGGAGAATTTTGACTAATATGATTGAAATATTTTTTTGGATACATGAACAACTCTGTTTCCATCACCTCGCCCAACTTCGCCCCTATTTGCTTGGACTTAATCTTGAGGGGTATCCCCATATTTGAACTCATATATGTACCAAGTTGAAATGAGTAAGATTTGGTTCCATATTAGGATTCCACGGCAGGACAACCATGAACCCATATATGTATCAAGTTGAAATGAGTAAGATTTGGTTCCATATTAGGATTCCACGGCAGGACAACCATCCAATAATTGTAGAGCACCCAAGATTTCCCTTTAGAATGCATTTAACATCGAGCTGGTTGCCCATTGTAATCATGTATAACCCTGCCTCAATTTCAGAAATACGTAATTGCACGGGATCACACCATAATCTGCCAACCTTGTAATTAGGGAGCTTTTATGTATCAATTTGTCAATCAGAAACTTATCCATAATGGCTTTACCAATTTCTTTGAAATATCGGTTAATTCCATCGCCCAAAACAAGAAAATAATCATTTTCGTTGTTGTTCTGTGTTGTACGCATGTTATGATTGATTTTTGGATTTTTCTCCAAGTTTTCATGGGTTTTACTATTGTTTACCTCTAGCCTATTGTATTGAGAGATTTGAATGTAGTCCAATTAAAAGTCGCACAAAATATTCTTAGCTGATATAGAATTCCTACCACTGCCTGGTTCTTGAGAATATTGAATCTCCATGATCAACCATCGTGCAACCGACCACCAGAACGAGAGACTAAAACTAAAAGTTACACCATCTAGAAGCACGAATGAAGACAGAGACGAACAAGGGCGCACCAACTGGGGAAAGAAACGAACTACAGCAGAAACGATTAGCTATCGAAAAATAAGAACACACTAGCGAATAAAACTGAAACCAAAGGTCACAATTCAGGCGAACACGATGGATCAAAACACACTACAATAACATGGAGAAGTTACTGAAGAACAAAGAATAAAAGGGAAAAAGTTTACCAAAAACATTGATAAAAGGATTCAATATTGCAAGAATATTTTAACAAGAGCTTGAAATAGGATAATTAGCAATCAACAATTTAGAATCTTGACATATTCTTTACCATATTGGAAAATTTAATTGCAGGTTATCTGGTGAAGAAAAAATACATTTCGGAAAACTTGATTGCAAGTTATTTAGTGAAGAAAAAATACATACCGGAAAACTTGATTGCAAGTTATTTAGTGAAGAAAAAATACATATCGAAAAACTTAATTACAAGTTATTTGGTGAAGAAAAAATACATACCAGAAAACTTGATTGTAAGTTATTTGTTAAAGAAAATATACATATCGAAAAATTTAATTGCAAGTTAATTGATGAAGAAAAAATATATATAAAAAAATAATAAATATTAAATAATAAAATTATTTGATAAATAAAAAGTGTATAATTGAAATATTTATAAAAAAAAATGTAAGAATATTTGGTAAAATTTTCTTTAATTTGGTGAATTCGTCTTTCCTCCATAGTCCACGTAATTTCATTAAGGAGAATAAGATAGATTCATCTTAATTGCTGTTAGTTCAAAATATACTTTAACGAAGAAAAAAAGTGTTCAATAACCATTATTTCCTATCACCGAGATGCCACTGCATGTAGATATTTTAATGATTAAAACGGATCTTAATTGCTGTTAGTTCAAAATATACTTTAACGAAGAAAAAAAGTGTTCAATAACCATTATTTCCTATCACCGAGATGCCACTGCATGTAGATATTTTAATGATTAAAACGGATTCCATTTGCAATTACTTGAACGAGTGAAATGTTATGCATGTCACGTGTTTGTCATATGCTCAGCCCTTCTCTTAGTTGGGAGTCATATGCTCAGCCCTTCTCTTAGTTGGGAGTCATATGCTCAGCCCTTCTCTTAGTTTGTCATATGCTCAGCCCTTCTCTTAGTTGGGAGTTATCAGCAAAAATACTCTGGTGACCATGTAATGCAAAGTGTACGCCCATTGTAAGTAGGTGATTTGATTATGTGGTTTGAGATCATTAGTTGATAAAGTAAATAATTCAAAGATAAATGGTGTAATCTATAATAATTTGAATGTACTCTGTAAACCAAATCTATGCAAGATAGTTCTCACATTAACATAGACAACCCCCTGTCACTAGGGGCAATCTCATGTATGATTAATGAACCAAATACAGAACTATCTCTTTCACCGCATACCTATCTATGCCCACACTAGAAACTTTCTACTAGGAGGTCTTCATCACAAGATGAATCAACTTTCTACTAGGAGGTCTTCATCACAGGATGAATCAACCTCTTCTGCAATTCAAGACAAAATCTAGGTTCAAACAAGCAATTCAAGACAAAATCTACATTTAACAAATTGTTTGAACGAAGTCTTCATATTTGGGCAGGTCTCTTGCTATGCTAACTCCTTAAATATACTTTACTCATGTACTCTAATTATTTCATATCTTTGAGAATAACAATAACCAATCTCATATAATTGGCTACCTGACCATCGTTTGTAGAAAAATAAAAAGTCAAGAAAACATGGGACTAACTGTACAAAGTGATTGTTGACGTGACACTCATAATTGAAATATTTTTATTTTGATTTAGCAGCTTAATTATAAATTTCAGCAATTCATGAAAAAAAAAGGTTTTTCTTAACTGCAAACACGACTTGTTTCATTCAATAATGGAGATATAATGGTAAGCCAATATAATACAACCAAAACTATTGGCAGCTACCACAAAATATGGCTGACCACTAATAACCAACATTAAAAGCATCCATTATCATAAAAAATGAAAGGTGTTGTGAAGGACAGAAAGTGATATATACTAGATGCAAGACTGCTAAAACATTTCAAACTAAAAATCAAAGTTTAACACCTTTAATACTATTATCTCCCTAACTAGAAACATTGAAAGTTTGTTATTTCATTTTAAAATGTCATTCACATGAAACATCAAATTTCAGAGCTTTGTGTCGAAATCGAATCATTTGATGACATAGTTTATGCAAACCCACGAACGATAAAACACAAATATGATTCTTAATCACTTGCATTAAAGACAATATTCAAGTGATGCCACAAAATTTCAAAAAACAGAGTAGACAAACTTTCTTGTTAATCAGCCCCAGCCCAAGAAAACCCAAAAAAAAATATTGAAATACATACATTGAAATGGCCACGCTTAAAATTCAAATCATACACATTGAAATGGCCACGCTTAACATTCAAATCATACACATTGAAATGGCCACGCTTAACATTCAAATCATACACATTGAAATGGCCACGCTTAACATTCAAATCATATACATTGAAAATCATATACATTGAAATGGCCACGCTTAACATTCAAATCTTTGTTAATGCCAAATCATTTTGCATAATACAATTTGAAAACACTAACTCAGATCCAAATAATTACTTCAAAACAGAACATACCAAACCAAATATAAAATACTCAATGTAGTACATTAATAAAATTATGAAATAACAGCCAGAAATCCAAAAATGAGTTCAGATTCAAAAAAACACTAAAACAACACTTAATAAGCAAAAATAAAAAAGTCTCGAATAAAGCTAACTCAAAACCTGAGCTTGGTGAAAAACCACCTGTTCTTCCCAGTCTTAAACCTCTCTTCGAATCTCTTCTTCGCCTCCTTCAAAGCAGTAACCTTCTTATCCTTACTCAAAAGGGCATCATTGGTAACAATCTCCTTCAGATCAACATCCAGAGTATACCTAGTAGGCATAAGATGCTGGTAGTTAACAAGCTTCACAAACGCCTTCACACGCGATTTCTTTGCGGTTTTCTTCGCCGAATCCTTCTTGATAACCTTGCTTGGATACTTCTTGATCCCTGCAACCAAGGCATGACCATAAGCACGTTCGCGAGTTCCATCGTCGAAGTTCTTCACGATGACGGCCTTCTTCCCTGCGTATCGGCCTTGAAGGACGATGACGGCTTTGTTTGGCTTGAGGAATTTCACCATTTTCGATCTTCGTTCCTCTTTCTCTCACTCACTGAATCGCCTTTTCAGGGTTGAAATGAAAACCCTAATTTGTTGTGATGAATAAAGGATTTGGAAACCTAGAATGTTATTTCTTGGGTTTGGGTTGGGCCTAACTGGGCCTGTTATATCTTTGTTTATTATTTGCACACCTTGGGTTGACTAAATAAATAATTTGTGTTATATGAACTTTTATTTTTTTCTGCAAAGCTTGTTGGTGATTTTTAGAGTAAAATTTAAATTCAATTTCTTGTTTATTTATTTACTCATAGCATATGTCTCTTTTTTTTTTTACTGAGTTGTCCAGTATTTGTTTAATATTTCTAGTCAAATATTTGACATCTGTAAAAAAAAAATTAACACATTTAGTTTTTAATATTTATTTTTATTGTAATTAAAACATTAAACAAATATTTATTTACTTTTAGCATTTGTTTCTAGGATATTATAAATGTAGTACTTGTTTAATGTTTTAATTGCAATGAAAATAAATATTAAAAACTAAATGTGTTATATTATCTATAATCTATACAGTATATAAAAGAAATACTTTATTTTAGTGTGACTTATTTTCTTAATCATTTTTACTCTTATTTTATTATGTAATTTACTTAATAAATTTATTATTAACTTTCACATAACTTTTTAGTATTAACTTTCACATGTTATATTTTTTTTAAAAATTATTTAAACAAAAATTGTCGTTTATATTTTCATCCATGCGCATTAAAAAGCGGACAGACGGACACCCGAGTGCCCATATGAAAGCTAGTATATATAAAAGACAAAACTTGTTTTTGGTGTAGCCTTTTTTTATTATCAATTTTACCTTTATTTATATGTAACTTACACAATATTTTCTATTAAAACTACTATTATTATTTCTTACATAACTTCCTATTATTAACTTCCTTTTAAAATTAATATTAAATAAAAAATATCATAAATATTTTCATGTGTCCGCTAGTATATCTATAAAGGGGATACAAGTTTTTGGTGTGGCTTAATTTTGTTCCAAAATTACCCTTCATCTTTTTTATCAACAAAAAATAGTTTAATTTAAAATCTTGAGTGGTAAATAACTTTTGTTGGTTACCAATTAAAAAAGTAACTTTCATCTCTCACAAAAAAATATCTCACACCTATAACTTCCATTAACTACTAAGTGGTGACAGAAGTTAAAAATTTTCTTCTATTTTTTTTTATGTAAATTTCATCTCTTTCTCAATGAAAATACTTTTTTTAATTTTTTTCATTCTATTTTCATGTATTCAATTTTAATTAGTGATCTTTTTATTTTTGAAAAATAGATGAAATTTATTTCCAGTCAAGATCGCGCCATCACCCCCAGTAGAAGAAGTCGTTCTCATTATGACTGAAAATTGATGGTTGTATGTAGATTTCTTTTGTAATTGCTTTTATAATAATAGTTTTTGTATGACTTTTGTAATTGAGTCTTTTTTTAGAATTTTACCATTTACGAAACTTTTCTTTTTTTCAAAGCAGAGTTATTAACTATGGAGTAAAAAAAGATCATGTGATACTTGAAAAAATTGCATACTCTAAAATACAATAAAATTTAAGTATTTAATGCAACCACAATGAGTAAGAGTGGTTTGTACTGCACTATTATTTTCTTACAAAAATTATATCTTAATTTTGTTGCAAAATATTATTCATTAATACTATAGTTTTAACTTTTTGCTTTTGTTGCTATTATGTTTTATTTCTTAATGATACTTATTTGTATTTTGTGAGTATAAACACATCATAAAATTGTAATTTAGATTTTCATAATATAAACAATTATTTCATCAGTATTATTTTTTGAAATGACGTGGTTTTTAATGATGTTAGTTCTTTTGTTTTAAATTTTTATTTCTATCTTACTTTTAATTTGCTATTTGCTATTGTAAATATCTATTTATGTGGTAATTTAATTATGATTTGGAGATGATTTGTGTTTTTTTTATATTAAAAAATCATTAATTTGGTTAATATTATTTGACTTATAGAACAAAAGGAGAGATGAGATGAGGATATATGACTGTTACATATCAATTTCTCATATTAACATTTTTTTTGTTGAATTTTTTAATGAGCACACACATACAAATATAAATAAATAAAAAATTTAACATATTATTATCATCTCATTTTTAGATCTACATTTCATTTTTTAGATCCATCATCTCATTTCTCTTCTCTTTTCTTTTTGAAATATTATGGACTTTAACGGAAGGTTGTAATATAAAGGTATAAAATGAAATCTTTTTGAAAATCTTTCACAAACTTAATTGGTGCACACAATTTTAATATTTCGTACATTGTTAACTTCCATATGTATTATAGAAATAAAAACCATTTCCTCAAAAAATTATGTATATTGATAAAACAGTTTTAAAAATATTGTCACATTTATTAATACTTAATATACTGTTCAAATATACAATGATAGTTGAAAAAATATATAACTTCCATTATTTTATCTTTTATGTCTATATGTGTGACCTTGCTATTGAACAAAACTTTAAGTATGAAAAAATAAAATAAAAATATTAACAAAAAAATTTATTGTGAATTATTGAAAATTTGAAACACTGACCATTCACTTTCATAAATTAGTTGAATTTTGTTGTTAATTTTTTATTTACGATTTTTATTTTTGATGTTAAAGAGAGATGCACAATAAATATCATATTACTTACAAATTTAATTTGAAAAATAATTTAAATTTTAATTAATTAAATAAATGACATTTTAAATTTTCTTACAAACATAAGGATGCATATCAAAAAATTTAGTATTCAAATAATTTAAATTTAAATCATACTTAAATAAAAAATATTTGTTTATATTTTGACGTGTATGCTCATTAAAAAAGAGACGGGCACGAGAAGAGTCGTGTGTGGAGCATACATATTCGCAGGGGATGTACATGTTGTTCAGTTTACTCTACAAGCTCCTCTCTAACACTTTCATCAAATTTATAAGAGAGAGAGGGAAGGGGTGGGGAAGAGAGGAATGCATATTACAAAGTTTACTATACAAATAATTTAAATTAAAATCAAAGTTAAATAAAAAATATTCGTTCGTATTTTGACACGTGTGTCGTGTCCGTTTGGACGCTATCAAGACTATGTGCCACAAGGTAATACCTGAGAGATGTTCCTCCTCAAGTATTACCTTTCGTATTAACGCACATAAATTAACATAGTTAACCAATAAAAAGATGCAATAAAACCGGAGAGATCAAAGACAACAAATGCTCCACACACGATCAAAGAAAGAAATATATTCAAATATTAATTTTAAAGATGTATTTCTAATCCACTCAGGCCAGACCAAAAATTGAAATCTGCGAGTTAAGATGGTTCCCATTGAGTAAGCACAACACAAGGAGATTCATTCAAAACGGAGATTCATTCAAAATATGTGACTTATTTGAATGTATTTCTTTGTTGATATTCGCAATTGGAAGTTTTTCGTGCCCGGATCAATTCTGAAAAACATTTCATAAGGCCCATGTGAAAGCATTTATTCGATCTGGCCTGAGTGAGCTCACTTATACAGAGACACTCTTAGAAGGCGGTTAAAGTCACAATGCTCAACATGTGACTGGATCGTGTTTTGAAAGTGTAAATTGTAGGTTATCTTTTGTTTATAAGCTGGTTATCATGTTTTGACTGCACCGTGTAGGCTTCTATAAGATATTTACCTTGGCTTGATTTCACCGCCTTTTTTTATTGTACCTGTGTTTTTTTAATATGAGTGTGTAACGAGCTTTGTAGCCCACGGTGAGTAATATGAACGATCAAACAAGATGCATAAATAATACAATAGTCTTCCAATTAACCTTTTGGTGATAACTTATATATAGTGAGATGTCTAATCAATTTATTTTATGATGGAATATATATAAACTCGCCTAGAGTCGGATAGTTCTTAATTCTTAAGATAAAGATCCCAGTTCTTAATCCTCATACTGTGATGATATCTCTCTTGTGTCTGTTTGTCCGTTTATTTTTCTATGTTGTGGGCATTAAGAAAATATGCAAGTAACTTCAAACATAATATACACACGTTTGTTTTCCTATGTTGTGCGCATTAAAAAAAGCGGACAGACGGACACGGGAGTGCACGTCTGATGCTAGCAGATGTGTGTGAGCAGTTTAAGCTGGTGAGCTGAGAGCTTACTGAGTGGATGAATTGGATGGATATGGATTATTAATGGATGGATCAAAACAATTCATTAATCTATTAGCAATCCACTAAACTCTTTTAATAAAAATCCAATTCAATCCAATCCATCTATTAAAAGATAAAATTCATCAAATCCATCCATTAACATATTTCTAATGGATGGATATCCATCCATCCAAAAAATTAATTTAAAAATTTTTTGGATAAAAAATTAATTTAAAAATTAAGATAAAATTCTTAATATCCATTAATAGTTGATGTAAAATTTAATTGAAATATTTAATATTTTTTTTATAAAAATAGTTTGTTTAATTAATTTAATAAGCGACAACATAATATCCAATGAATTTATAAAATGAGATGGATGGATTGAATCCATCCATATGAGTTAGTGGGTGAATTGAATCAAATCCATTAAATTATTTTTTGTCTTATGGATGGATTGGATAGATAAATTATTGGATGGATTGGATGTATATTATCTAAATGGATTTCATTGCCACCTCTACTAAAAACCACGCCATTTCAAAAAATAATACTGATGAAATAATTGTTTGTATTATGAAAATCTAAATTACATATTTTATGATGTGTTTTTACTCCCAAAATACAAATAAGTATCATTAAGAAATAGAACATAATAACAACAAAAGTAAAAAATTAAAACTATAGTATTATGAATAATGTTTTGCAACAAAGGCAAAATATAATTTTTGTAAGAAAAAAATAATGCAGTAGAAAATCGTTCATACCCATTGTAGTTGCATTAAAATACTTGA